CTGAATGTATTATGTCAGGGATCAACATTAAGAAAACACTGCAGAGATGATAATTTTTAAAGTAATCGATAGCTTGGATTCATAACTTTACCATTCAGGCAATGAAGAGTGGAAGAATTATTTTCAGAAAGTTGTTGGAAGTGAGGCTCTAAATGGCAAGAATTTATGGATAAGAGAGCACTTTGTGCAGAATCCCAGCACGCATTACGGCCAGTAACTGTTGCGGTTGACAAATGAGAAACCGACCCTCCTAAAGTAAAGAAACTTAGGCTTATGGCAGGCAGGAAAGCATTCCCTCTAGTGACTTGTTTCTGCAAGTGTTACCCTTTTCGGCTCTTACTATGTGTGATATGGTGCTCTTCTTATCCCCACTTCACAGCTGGGGAAACTGAGGCTCAAATAAATTGAGATGCAGTGACTTGTTCAAGGTCACACAGCTGTTACATAGTGGAGCTGAGATTTCCCTGTACAAGTCTGGGCTCATAACCCTTAGCATTTTGCCTTTGCATTATATGGTCTGTTTGGGGGTGGCAATTTCATCTTAAAATAAATTCAGTGTTGAAAATGTTTCCCTTCTCTTCAAGTGAATTTGAGCATGTTGGGGTCTGGAGAAATGGAATTTGCTTTTAACTGCCTATTCATTCAGCCTCAAAAAGAAGCCCCTTCCATGTTTGCTTAGGACAAATGATTATGCTGGATGAATACTAAAAACTGTTTTGATCTGACAAAATTTACTATCTGTGTATCTATGGGGAGCAAAAACGAATTGTGGGCTAGTAAAATTTAGTGCTTATTTACAAGCTTTATTTCCTTTGGGTCCTCAAATTTGCACAAATAGAGAGGGCATCATGGTCAGATTTTAAGGACCATTGGCAGTAAGGTAAGCAACACAAACCAGGGACCCCCCAGTAACTGCCACCCCTGCGAGGTCTGTTGGCATGAAAAATTGAATGGCTGGCTGGGTTTAATGGACAGTATGGGGTTCTCGATGAAGAGTATTCACTCTCTGATTTGAAAAACAAATCTAAACTAAAGCACATTGAAATATAAACATTACAGGCACCTTAAAAAGTCTTAATTTTTTAGTAGGTGGCTATCACTCACATACATTCTATATCATGATGCATCAGTGTAAATTAAACACCTGTTAGGAGATCAGGCCTGGACTACTGGTTCATTGCTGCTTCTTAGACTACCCTCTTATATACCTTTGTTCATCTGCAGCCTCTATCCTCATTGTTTTTTCTTAGGATACTGTTACTTTGGGAGAAATCATTGTGTTGGTGGTTAGATGTGGCCTCCAAATTTATCTGGTCCACCTTCTTTATTTTAAATATTAGAAAACAGAGAAATTGTAATGCTAGTGTCTTACCTCTGTGTACTACTTTCTGATAAACCATCAGCTCCAATTATCTGGATCCCCATGCTAGAGATGAGGAAATGAAGTGGTTGGGCCTGGGTCAGAAAACTGGTATCGGCAGAGCTGGGATTAGAATCTGGGTGTCCTGATTGTGCCCCAGGAATTTCCTTTGCATCATGCTGCTGCTCATAATCTTGTAGACTTGAGACTGTTGCACATATCATGATAGACTGACCAGCAGTTCCAAATGTTTATCCTTCCTGGCCATTAGTCCCTGTGTGCTACAATGAAACAAATTAACTTTGCCTTTTTAATTCAAAAGTCGTAAGACTTTTATCTAGTGTCTGAAGCCAATGAGCAGCATTTAATTCTGTTACTGAATATGGGGCTTGAAACCAGTGTATTTTTTTAAAAAAATTATTTAATATTATGATAAGTGAGTGAGCACTTGTTGATATAAGTATTTGTTGAGTTAATATGTATAAATACTGTAAGAATGCTGGGGCAAAATATTTTTAATTAGTTCAGAGGCCACCTCATATGTTACAAAGCCCCATAAAAGATGCCTTCTTTTGGAGGAGTGAGGAACTCTGTTCTCGGGTGAGCTCATGGTAATAGGGTCTCTGAACCAGCCTTTAGCAGCCACACTTTACACATGCGTGGGTGTGTAGGCAGTGCTGGTGTGTACCGAGGATGGAGCCTACCCACACTGTAAGAAAAGTAGGATGAACATTTTGAGTAGAGAGACGAGGGAGTGAGGTGGGTGCTTTTCTCCCTGACCAGTTGCTCTTGCGCCTGAAAGAAGGTTTTTAAAGAGTTTAGTGTATACAAAGTGTCTTTGATTCTTGGTATAAGGCTGAGCAAGATCAGTCCTTGTTATATCGAATTGCTTACCTTCAATTGCTAGAGTTTGGAGAATGCACCATTCTTGTGGACTTTGGGGGACAAGAGTGAAATTTGAGATGCCATTTGGTCATTCCTCTGTCCTAGGCGGAATGGCACTCAATTTGGAGGGCTAATTTTCTTCACATGTCCAACAGATTACACATTCTGCTTTAGCAGTCCATGCTGTTGTCTTCTTAATGATCGCAAGAACTGACTTTGTGGGCCCTTGTGTCTCTCTTTCAGGTCTAACTTCAAACTTGTGGCTGTTAATTCAAAACTCTATGCCATTGGTGGGCAGGCCGTTTCTAACGTTGAGTGTTACAATCCTGAGCAGGATGCGTGGAATTTTGTGGCACCCTTACCAAATCCTCTAGCTGAGTTCTCCGCATGTGAGTGTAAGGGGAAGATTTATGTCATTGGAGGATATACGACCAGAGGTAAGTGAAGGGGCCAAGTAAGTGGTGCTCGTATATGTAAGCTTCGGCAGCCTGGGGAAGGGCAGGGGTGCCAGGGGAGTGCTCTGGTGTGCATGAGTGTGATTCTGTGCATTACACACTGTATGTTTACATGTCTAGAAGGAAGCAAGTCCTGTATGACAGAGTGGTCTGGACAAGAGGGGCCTTTGGTGCCTTTGTGTGAGCATGCAAGTTGAACCGGGGTAGGAGGAGCTGTGAAGAAAATCTGTATTTTCTTTCTGCTCTGGAAACCCAGCCTTGTAGTCTGTCATCTTATGACTTGGCTGGGTAACTCACATCCTTCCCCCTGACACACACGGAGTCCTCCCCACCCAGCAGTTTAGGGCCAGAGTGTCCTCACAGATCTTTGTTTTCGTCTTCTCCCTTCTTGAGCACTTAGGTCTGGACTCTTCTTGTTCACCCATCATAGGAGGAGCAAGAACACAAATATGAGAGGATTCGTTTCTGGTGGGAGGTGGTTGTGCTATTTATTAAACTGTACATATGTGTTTTCCACATTTTTCAGTGAGCATTTTATAGTTAATAATTTGGAAATAAAAAGTTTCTCCAGCAGGTTTTAATACTGGTGTTCTTGGTAGGAAGCTTCCTACTTGATAGTGAGAAAAAACGTGGTTGTGGTAAGAAGGACAATGGGGGACCACCAGGAAGGAGGGGTGCCTTTTCTTCTCTCTCTCTATCTCCCTGCACTTAAAGCAATTGTTTCTAAGTTAGCTCCTGGCCAAGGAAACTTATTTCTTCATTTGGTCTGTTTGACTGTGTGATGCCCAGAACTTATAGAAAAGGTATAACTGGACTCTTAGGACTTGTAGCCACATCGAAGTAATAGAAGTCCCACTGTATCTGACGTAGTGAAATAAGCTGTCCTCCTCACTGGTATGATGTGGGCAGGACAGAGCTCTCTCTGGCTGATAACAAGCTTGGAGAAATGATGCTGGTGGCTCCAGTAGGCTGCATGTGACCATATATAACTTTGTAAAGGACAGAAGTCCACAGGCTAATATAGTGTAGGTGACAAAAATTTTTTTCACCATAACCAAATGTGCCTTGTTTAGGGGATTTATGTTAGAGGAAAAAGTTAAATGTAAGGTGTTTTATGAGTACCTGATTTACCTTTTTTTGTGTGTGCGACAGCAAAAGATTTTGATGAACCCTTCTGGAGTACTTCTAAACAGTTGATTTGGTGGGGAGGATGGTCAGTGGTGTTCTAGTTTCCCGGGGCTGATATAACAAATTATCACAAACTTAATGGCCTAAAACAACACACATGTTCTCTCACAGTTCTGGAGGGTTCAGAAGGCTGAAATCCAGGTGTCGGCAGGGTCGTGCTCCCTCTGAGAGTGGGACTCTTTCCTTGCTTCTTCCTGCTCTGGTGGCTCCAGGTGTCCTTGGCTAGTGCTGTGTGACACATCTCTGCCTCCATCTTCACAGGCCTACTCTTCTGTGTGTACCTGTGTCTTTTCCTCTCTGTCTCTCATGAGGACACACTCTTCATTGGATTTAGAGCCCACCCGAGTAATCCAGGATGATCGCATGTTGGTATTCTTAACTACATCTGCAAACCCTTTTCCCAGATAAGGTCACAATCGGAGGTTCGGGGGTTAGGAAGTGGACATACCTTTTTGAAGATACCTTTCAGCTCACTACTAGCAGTATGTCTATTTATACTTTGAAGGAGAGGCAGTGACGAGAAGTGCATGGGAAGCAGTGAGCTTTTTTATTTTTTTTTCACTGCAAGGTTTCATCCCTTTTGGAGCTATTCCCATTGTCCCTCTGTAGTAACTCTCCACGGAAGATAATTACCAGCCTTTCCTTTACAAATAATTGAAAAAAAAAAAGACCTAACAGTCATTTCTTTTACTTTCAAGAGTGGTGTTCAGGTTACAGGGGTCAACTTTATATGCTTAACTAGACAACAGCCTCCAGAGAATTCCTGTGTGTGTCTTTTCTCCTAGGAAAGTAAAGACAGTTATTTACTTGTGAACATCTCAAGAATTCTGATTCTTCCCTCAATTTTGTAACACAGAATGCACCCTGTGGGCTGACATAACGCACACATATCTCTTGGCTTCTCTGTTAACCAGGAGCTGTGACGCACTAATAACCAACACTGTAACCCAAAGAGTAGTCTGCTGGTAGATTTCCTAGTTTTTCCATGACCCTGGCTGAGTAAATGTTCTTTAGATTTGACCTGGAAAACCCTTGCTTGTGTGTTTTCTAGTTTCAAAAGCCACTACTAATGTACCTTTTTCACTTGGGCCACCCACTGTGATTCCTGTCCCAGTTTCCCCAAGCCAAATACCCATGATGGGATGGTTAGGTGATGTGAGTGGATGGATGTTTGTGTAAGCCTTGAAAACTAGTTTTCTAAGATGAGAGGGCAGGCCAGTTCCTTGTATTCCAAAGCCTCCCTCCTCCTCTGCTTATACTCTTCCCAGCACTTCCTAATAGTTCTTTGTACTTAAATCATAATTGTCATGAAAAGAAATTCGGGACTTAAAGTTGTGTTCTTAGCTTGCTGACGTCTTAAGTTAGGTGAGACTTTTAAAATTTAATAAGTAGTAGTTCATGATTTTTATAATAGCTATTTGATTGTTTTAATTATTTAGCAGGCGCTTAAGAAATATAAAGAAATTCAGTTCTAGTAATAGTAACAACTGAAGGGAAGAAGGGTGATTTGTTAAACTTCAGAATCAATACTAAATGTAAAAGTGAAAAGATCCTTCAACTCAAACCACCTCATCAGGTCTGAGCCCTTGTTGGGTGAGGAGAGAAAACATTTACAGAAGACCTGGAAAGACCTTCAGACCTGAAACTGAGAAATACATTGAAGCTTCACTAGAATAAGGCCTTTATTCATGCAGTGGGAAGCCAGGTTACTAAGGAGCACTTTTTGATAGGTTAGTGACCAAACTCCCTTTCACTGTCTCCTAGCAGGAGCTGTATTACAATGGCTACAATAAAAAAAATAGAGAGAGGTATTAGTTTGGGTGAGAAACAGAAGAACGATTCCCTAAAGCTATAACAGTTCTGAAATTTCTACAGATTGGGGATATGTGCACACACAGGCTTAGTCTCCTTTCAGGTCCTCCGTACCCTCTTAGGAGGCACTTGACTCAGTACCAGACATAGTGGTGGAGCTCTTTGATCATTGCTAACTATGGGAGTCTCAGGAGGAAGTGCTGCTACCAGCTTCTGCAGCAATTAGAATATTTTAGTAGTGTGTCAGCTCCCAAGTTGAGCTGTCTCTTACACTGATAGATTTTGTTATTTGTTTAAAAAAACTACAACAAACAGAAAGTTCATTCTTTCTGATAACTCAGAGCATTTTTTTTTTTCTCTGCTGAGGCTAATATATTCAATTTTTTCCCCGGGGAGAAAAGAAAAGGGGAAAAAAGAGAACAATTAAAAAAAGAAAAATGAAAATAGATATTTTAAGTTTCACAAGCATTTTTCGAAAAGAGCAGAAAATGTTTTTCCTTAAAACACTGTTAATTCAAAATAATGTCAGAGCAGTCTTTCATCTCCTGTCTGATTTTATTCACACGATAACTAACCTCCTGTGAGGTAGGCTGGGGAGAGGAAAGGGCTTTTGCCCATGTGTCTCTGGTGTCAGAGTTGGGAAACAAAATCGCCAAGCCATTCTATGACTCGAAAGCCAAGTGAAAATTGCATTTCTCTTGCATTTCTTGCGTTTTTCTTGACTTGCAGCTTTATGTCCTCTACTTTAGATAGCTCCTGAAGATCCTGCTTGGCTCACTTGTCTATTTTAAAGTAGAAGCCATTGTTAAGAATAGATCCTCTGTATTAAGGAATCAATAGTTCTGCGGATGTTGATGAGGATTCTGAGGCTCCAGTTCTCTTTACATTGGGCTGATGGTTCTGAACGGTGCCAAGGAGGAGGGGATGTGCCCAAATCACAGCTGCTCACCTCCCTGGCTTTACTAGTTCTGAGAGCCTCCCAGGGAGGGGACATGCTTGAATGCAAGGTGAGTGGGGACAATTCTAAACACATCTCCTCCCAGCCGTTTCCAAAACTGTTTTCCCTCTGCTCCTCTGAAATAGTTTTGTGTCTGTGTTATCAAGTTATTCAGGTGGTGGTAGACATTTATATACAGCCTAGGCAATCAGTGGTGTTACTCATGGCCATGTTGTCACTTGGCTTCTTTCTTCATTTCAGACCGGAACATGAACATTTTGCAGTACTGCCCCTCTTCCGACATCTGGACACTCTTTGAGACATGTGATGTCCACATTCGCAAGCAGCAGATGGTGTCTGTCGAGGAGACCATCTATATCGTGGGGGGATGTCTCCATGAACTGGGGCCCAACCGGAGGAGCAGCCAGAGCGAGGACATGCTCACTGTGCAGTCCTACAACACTGTCACCCGGCAGTGGCTCTACCTCAAGGAGAACACGTCCAAATCAGGTCTTAACTTGACTTGTGCGCTCCATAACGATGGCATCTACATCATGAGCAGAGACGTCACCCTGTCAACCAGTTTGGAGCATCGGGTTTTCCTCAAGTACAACATCTTTTCGGATAGTTGGGAAGCATTTAGGCGTTTCCCAGCCTTTGGACATAACTTGCTGGTTTCTTCTCTTTATCTGCCCAATAAAGCAGACACATGACTGAATTGACTTAATATTTAAAAGAAACCTGGTTTGAGACAAAAAAAAAAAAAAAAAATTGTAGTGTCCCATTTCAAGGGAGACTGATTTTTAAAGGGAAAACTGTTAAAGTAGATCACGTATACAACAGCTGTAAATAAGCTTACTTGAACTAATTACTTGAAAACTTGTGGAGAAAAGAGACCAATTTTATTATTTTTTTAATTATTGGTTTTTAAATTATGGGAGCAAATCCATGATAACATTTTCATCCAAATATGATACTCTTAGGCCTGTGACAAACTGATCAGTAAAAGGAAGAGCCATTATGTCTGCTTAATAATTGGCATGAATGGTAAAGATGATTTTAAAATCTGTTTTATTTAGGTCACTTGGAATATTATTAATACCTTAAGTGAGAGATTTTCTTGTTATTAATTTCCTCGACAAATGTTTATATTAACACTGTCATTCTCCCCTCCTCACTCCCAATTATACCCACATAAACTTCCACTATGTTTAAAATAGGGTTCTATGTTTAGATATTTTATTTGCACAATGCCTTCCAGGAAACTTAAAATGATGGAACCCTACAGTGAAGTCTTGCAAGCATTCAGTCCTCCCCAAAACTTGCATAAAAACATTCTCAACTATTTTTCCAGTCTTTTTTTTTTTGCAGTTATTAATGCTGAGTAAATAGGTAGATATAACCTGGCTTCATTTATATGGCAGATTGCAGATTTGTGTGGTCAGCTAAGTTACATTGCTAGGCATTATGTATCGTTTAGAAGAGAGGATATATTGTTTAAAAGGATGGATATATTTTTTTAAAGTTGAGTCTTAAATTTACATTCAAATGGGACAGGAAGGAAATACCAAATAAGAAAAACAATTGCCTTTAATAGTTACTTTTATTGAATGTATTTGACTCAGTTCTTTTTTTAAGGTCGAAAAATAACCTTGTCATATTTAGAGCAGGCATCTTTCTGATTTAATTTTAGCCTTTTATTTCTCGCTTTGCTTTTGTGAGGTGAGGTGACGATAGCTGTGAAACATTTGTGCTGGAGAGAAGGGGAGATAGCTCCTATAGAAGTGGAATGGCATCCGGTGGTATTTCTGAAATTAGGTAAGCAGCTCTACTTGCCTTAGTTGTTATTCAGATGGAACCCAACTCAAGTAATTGTTTGTTTTCAGTTAGTCAGTTAACGAAAGATAAAAGCTTCTGCCAATCGTAGACCAGCATTTCTTTAAAAATGTATACACGTGCTTATTGAAATTTTGTTTTGAATGAAAAACACTTTCTGAAATTCTCTGATCTTTAGTAATGGAATCAGTTTCACCGTGAGCTGGATTCCATCTTTTTGTTCTAACCTTCCAGTTACAGCGTGCCTCACTTTAAGAAAGTCACGTAGAAAAACTGTCGCTGGCAAATTCATGCATCCAGCAGACAGTTACCGAGTGCCTCCAGTATGCATTCACTGTGCACGTGTAGTAGAGAGGAGTCGATTACTTCAACAGAGTGCTTCAGTTTATCAAAAGAGTCACTACAGGGTTTCTTTACGACCATGGCCTCCTAGTAGATTTAAAATAAGGGTCTGGTTGTAAAAATTCTATTTGCACAACTTTTCAGGAATGCTTCTACTAGGTAAAACGTGTTAAGCCTTTATAGTAGACATGGAGACAGATCTTTGTATCTTGTCGCCAAATAGTCTTATCAGTACTCTGCTTAGAACACTATTTGTAGTTTTCTAAGCCACATCCATTTACTCTCAAATACTTAGCCCGTTATTTTTCTTTTTAAACTCTGACCTGAAATTTTCCTGGGAATGGTACTTTAATAGGTTTATATTAATTTATATTCATTATAGAATTGAATTTCTAGTGACCTATAATTTCATTACAGGTATTTAAAAATCTAATTTATTTTAGATAGTGTAACTTCTCTTGTCACCGAGCTTAACTTTTTTAAGGCTTAACTTTATATATTTTTAAGATTCTAGCTGGTTGCATTAGTTCTGGACAAAGAATTGGAGATTAGCTTGTAAATAACCACATTATATAAAATGTAATATTAGTCCTCCCAACCAGTTTACTTCCTGATTACATTCTTCGAGGTCTGTTTTCCTAATGCCAACAATTAGATTCTTGGACCAAGTGAAGGCGTACTCTGATCCTCAAAACTCTTTTTATAAATCAGGTTTCGTGTGTGTGTGTGTGCATTTATGTGCGTGTGCATGTGTGTGTATGTGTGTGTGCACTGGCATATAATAGCTCTCTCAAAGATACACAGACTTTTAATAAGGTTTTGGACTCTGGGCTGCCAGCAGTGCTTGGGCAGGGTAGAGTGTGCAATAGGAACAGATCTGTGGATTTGGGACATCATCCTTCCTGCCATGCACATCAGCTGGGTTAACATTTTGAGGATAATTTTAATTCAGCTTTGTTCTCTTGTTGGTGCCAATGTTATGTCAAAGACTCTACCTGTGATGAGAGCAAAGTTTCTTTGAATCTCTCTCCTCATCCTTCAGGATTTTGCTCTTAGATAATATCCCTCTGTTTGCTTTCTTTCTCTAAATGCTTTATCTTTTTTTTTTTTTTTCCGAAATGCTTCTGTGGTGCGCTGACTTCCCACTATGGAGAGGGGAGTTACTGGCAGGACCCCCACTGGTAGTCATCCTGCCAGAAGCAACTATTTTACTAAAAAGGGTCTGAATGGCAGAGAAGGAGTCCTGAGTGTGGATTGGAAGAGGGAGGTTATTGGTTCTTTTTGTTATTCCTTCTAGCTTTCTTTTAAACAACCTTGTTTTCAGAGTTTTCTCCCCTTCAAGTTCTTTAAAAGTTTTTCTGATGAATGTGTAAGAGTTGATTATTTCAATAGTATTGATTAAGTCATAACAATGAAGTACTGAGAAGGTTATGGATACTAGTAAGAAATAAGTAGATCGAGGTTAAGCACAAATACCAAAGAGAGTTTGACTCTGCCATTTTTTTGAACCAAAATCCCAAGTAATTCCAAATGCCTTAGATTTTAATTAAAGTCGTACTGAGATGGACAAAGCTTTTTGTCTACAAAGAGAGAAATCAAGTAAACACCTGTTCTCTCTAAGTAAACAATTATTTATTGAGCATTGTGGATGCCATGTTTTCAAATTTGCAGGTAAAATCATAACTCTACCTGTTTGGCCACACAGGTAAGTTGAATGGAATGGCCTTGGCCTTCTGGTCAACCAGCATTTAATGAGTATCGCTTAATGCAGAGGCAGCATAGCAACAGAAAGGTAATATGGGTGAGTGCTGAGTGCCTTCCTCGTTGACCAGAGATGGGGAATATATAACATCTGTGCCACCATTCTTTCAAGGCGGCATTAAGAATGAGTGGCACACCTTTCCTCTATGCCAGGAATTGGTCTCAGAATCCGGGTCATCAATGCTTCCAGGCATCTATTCCCAGTCCATCAGAGAGAGATGAGGTTTATTTGTCATCCCTGCCTCAGACAGAAGAGTGAATGAATTAGGTGAGTAGATACCACTCAAAATGGCTTTGAAAGCAATGAACTAATTCAGCTCAGTTCCCTGGTTCCTGGAAATACTTACCGAATGTCTTATGTGCAAGACAATGCGAAGAACTGGGGATGCAGATGTAAATAAGCTACCATCTCTGACCTTGAAGAGCTTACTGCTTTACGAAAATGTTCACCTTCACCGTAATCGTAACTACAGTATCCTTCTCAAAGATGCTCACTTTTGTCAGGCACCCTAGGGCTCTTTGGCCTGGCTGCCCTTTCAGTCCTGGTTTAATCTGCCCATTTATGTCTACTAACAATCATCATGAACCAGTTTTTCTCTAAATTTGAACATCATGTTTTTGGTTTTTTTTATGGTATGGTTTCTTTCTCACTACTTTTCATAGTCTTCTATGTACTTCATTTTTTTGAAAAAAAAATTACGTGATCTGCTTTATTTAAAAATACATACTAGGCACCACAGCCTATCTAGCTGAAGGCTCAGCACCTTGAGCCTGTGAAAAGAAGGAGCAAAGCCAGGGAAGTAAGTATTGGGAGAGAGGCAAGCTGTTCGCATGTGCATTTTAACCTATGCCTTTAAAACACTTTCACAAAAAGTATTAATAAAGAAATGGTCATTTAGACACTAGTCTAGACTAAAAGTCAGTTGATTTTGTCTTTGTGATAACTATCAAAGGTTAGTTTTCCATCCTTATGTTTCATTCACATAGGAGTATTTGTTTTTCATTTTCTTAACTTTGGAACATGATATAAAGTACACACCAGTTTACACATGCTGACTTCTGCACTTGACATAACCATTTTTATCCATTCCTATAGGAGACAGACTAAATGTAAAAGTTGTCAATTCTGAGAAGCAAAAGTGTGTTGAAAATACTTTGGTAGGTTTGGCCGGTGCTTTCTCAAATGGATGTCATCGTTTGTTACTAGTAAAGAAAAGGAAAATATAATTTGCATTATTGTGTCATTTTTCTAAAAAAAAAAGTCTTCATAGGGGCTCTTTAGATGTCTCTACGATGTTTTCATACCTAGTAGTCATTTTAGGAAAAATGATAATCTGTAGAATGAATAGTTATGTTTTGTTATGACCGATAACTTTGTTTAAAAGGTTGTATTGAATCTTCAATTTCACGTGTGGCTTAAAATGTAAACAATATCATTTAAATACAATGATGCTTATGAAGCACTCACTGAAAAAGCGTTCTTTTTGTGTTTAGAACTATAGAAGAAAATCTCTTCAAATAAAGTAGTTCTAAATCAGTTTTTGTTGTTCATTAGGTACTGTGTACCAGCTGCGTACTCAGGGCTGTGCCAGAGCTGGAGGAAATAGGTGAAGCCTGAGACTGGCCGCCGCTGGTGGAGAGCTCCTGATTTGCAGGGAAAGCCAGACTAACACTGACCAGTTAGCAAGGTGGTCATCCTATTGGAAGGAAGAGCCAATGCGGGCAGCACAGGTTATGAAGGCTGTTAGAGTTTGCAAAAGAGGGCTCTGGGAGGAAGCTCTTGGAATCCTTATAATTCTGGATAAAAGAATGAAGTTTAAATCCCATAGTTTAGCAATTACGGCCCACCGCAATCTGTTTCACCCTAGGTTTTCTAACTCTTCCTACTGTTTCCTTTTCAGCACCCTTCCCTCCAGGAAAACAAACATAACACCTTGATTTTCTATTGTGTTAATTATCACTGACTGGCTGGGAAGGGATTGGGAGGCCAGTGTCATAAAATGGGGTTTAGTTACTAGATGACATTCTACAGATGTCTTTTCCCTTCTGTCCTGTGATGGATGTATGGATGCATACACATGCCTTTCTTATACAATTTTAAGAATGATCCAACTTAAAATCTACCACCCCCTAAAAAAAAGAAAAAAACAGGCATACTCACCTTTTCCCCAAGGGAAACAGTCAAAAATCAGATTCAGTTACTGCATCCACAGGGGACATCACAGCTCACCGAGTCCTAAGTCTGGGATTGTTAGGGGATGTTCATCTCTGCTAAGTCCATGGGTGACCACTCCATTCTGACAATATAAATTAACAAATAATTTATTTCCTGCACACCCAGTTTACAACAAAACAACCACACCCAACACTAATCGAGCACTTAACTCTGTGCCAGGAACTCTAAGCATTTTTTATTTAACTTATTTAATTATCGCAACAATACCATGTGGTAAATAGGAATATTATCTCCCTTTAGAGTTGGAGAAACAGGCACTGCAGGTCACAAATTGCCATTTGGGAAAAGAGAGAAGGGAAAATTGCACATAGCAATTAAAAAATCCAAATTGTATACTTTTTCCTATGGGTGGAGTGTTTTGGGGCTCAGTGCTCTGGTGGTGGAGTGGGTTTCTGGTCAGCCAGTCAAGCCCTTGGTCTTGTTTTGCAGCAGGATGTCCCATGGTCATCCGATCTTTTTGGCACCAGGGACCAGTGCTCCTATGAGAATCTACTCTCGTGCCCGAGTAGGTGTGCCCATGTGGCAGCCTTCTCCCTGTTGGCATAGTTATGGAAAGTGTATTGAGGGAGCCTGAGGATTTCTGTAAGGCTAAGGAATTCCAGGCCATATACATTTTCCTTGGTAATAAAACCCCTTTAAAAACGTAGTTAGATGCTGGCTGATCTGATATCTCGCAACTCTGTGGGACACAGGCACAGATCCTTAAACTTGGAGCCTACCTTTGTGATTTCTGTTTCTTGGCCACAGACTTTCTGTACACACCCTTCATCCTTAGCTTTGTGGTTCCAATCTCTTCTTCAGCTTTCGGAAAACCTGACACAGGGGTCTGCCTTTGCCAGATTACATTCCAGGGAATGCTACCTTAGTAGAAACGATTGCCTCTATGTGGCAGGAGGTGTTTGGGGAAGAAATTCCCACCCTATTTCTTTGCTTTCTCCAAGGGCCCAGTCCTACTGTTTGTTCATGCACCTTGGGTTGAAGCAAAGACTGGCTCTTGCAGTTCTGCAAGGCATATGTTATCTGACCTTTCACAATCACCTGGCTGCTAGCAGAAGGATTAAAAGTATGGACTCCAGAGTAAGACTGGCTGAGTTTGCTTCCCAGTTCTGCCACTTTCTAGGTAAGTGTAGATGTGGTCAGGTTACTGCATCTTCCTGAGCCTCACTTTCTTTATCTGTAAAGTAGGGATAATACCAGTCTCCAACTCTGTGGGGTTATTGTGGAAATTGAATGAGAAAATCCATGTAGAGCATGCAGAATGGCATCTGGCGCACGGTGTGAAACGAACACGATCTGTTCTCACCAAAGCTGTTGCCTGTTTCCTCTGTATCTTCAAACTGGCTGGTTTGCCTGATAGCTTATGCCTTTCTCAATATACCTTACTGCGGACGTCTCCAACTCACTGGTCTGCTACCCCATCTATGGCCTGTTAGGACCCACGCTGCAGAGCAGGAGGTGTGTGGCAAGTGAGCAAAGCTTCATCTGTATTTGCAGCTGCTCCCCAGTGCTAGCATCACTGCCTCAGCTCCACCTCAGATCATCAGGCATTAGATTCTCATAGGAGCACCGGTCCCTGGTGCCGAAAAGGTTGGGGACCGCTGCCTTACTGAATCTGTTAAGAGGTAAACAAATCCCACGACCCTAATGTATTTCTACCACTTCTCTCAAAGAACTTGCTTGAAAGGTCTGAATCCCAAGATACAGCAGTGTAATCAGTTGCCTTGCTTCCCACATGAGGATAGCGATGGGGGAATCCTACCTATGCCTTCCCTTACCTTGATTTAGCTGGTTCCCTATTTCAGCTTTAAGTAATTTGCAACATCCCATCCTAAGTACCAGACTTTTCATTAAGACTTTGATTAGGCTAGCTTAAGTCAACTGTCTATGAGTACTGGGAAAATTTCCCAGGGTCGAGAGACAGAAGAAAGACACTGGCAACTTCAGAATTACATTGTTTATTAACGGAACTTATGGACAGAAGCAGTTTCTTGAGTGGCACCAAGATGGTAGATCTCTGCACCCAAAAGGAGTTGAGCCTTGTTACATATAGCCATGTAGCATGGTCTGACACAGTGGGCTTGCAGCCACGTGGCACGTGCTTGTTAAGAGCTGTATAATCCAAAGCAGTAAACAACTTAATGGGCCCACTTATCTATGCAAGATGATTATTCTCAAGTGATACAGACCCACTCCTGCCAGAGTGAACTGGCAGTCAGCTTGCTCTGTAAGATGACATTGGTTACATTAAGTATGAGGAATCATTTCACCTAACGATGACGTAATCACTGTGGACAGCAGGGTGGAGGGGAAGCTCCGGCTCAACCACATGGAACGGAATCATCTCAGATAATAGGGGTTCTCAGATTCAGTAAGGCAACCTTTTTGGCGCCAGGGACCAGTGCTCCTATGAGAATCTAATGCCTGATGATCTAATTCCTGAAGAAAAAAGGTGTCAACTGTCGAACTCCCAAAAGACCATCTGAACAACCTGTTGATTGAGCAGAGCAAAGTTTGTTGTGTTTACTGCAGTATGGGAGGGCACTGCTTTCAAAGAGTCTTCTTCGTGTCTTGGAAGGGGGAAGTCAGGTTTTGAGGCCTGGGCTGAGAGATTTTAAAATAGGTCTCGAGACTGTGCTGAACTTATGATATAAGAGCTTTGGGCACAGTGCTTTGTGGGCACAGTGTGGTGAGAGTCTTGAATGAGTGAGCTGTTAGTCTTGGTAAGTAAGCTGATTAGTTGGTCCATAGTGTAATGGAAGACAAGCCTTATGAAAATACTTGTTCCTAGATACAGTTTCAGCTGTATCTCTCTCAGGCACATATATTTGTCTGACACAATAGTTCTTATGTACATTTCTTATTCCTGTTCTGGATTGAAGTTTCCTTGATGATAAAATGTTTTACCTTTTTATCACCCTAAGTCAGGGTATACAGCAAAGCCTTGAACATGGCAGATTCTTAACATATTTGTTGAATTTGGAAGGTTTTGAAGACTCTGTGGGTTTTCTAAAAAAGAAATATAGGTTTTTGGTTTATGCAGCCATACAATTTCCTTATAGGAAATAATATAGTATTTTCTCGATGAACAAGTTTTAGTAAGGAAACCTTGCAGTGTACTTTTCTATCAATGTACATCACTCATCAAGCAGGTGGGAGAGGTTTCAGCTTCTGGTTGGGGCTGGATGGGAAATTAGCCTGCAAACAGGAGTGACGCCAGTGCCTTGGACCTCAGAAGCATTGCAGGTAAATGGGGATTGAGCTCTATCATTTCATATTAGGGCCTGAGTGGTGTTATTATTGTCAGTTATAGAACCATTCTTTTTACAAAATGTGTTGAATGTCTAGTAACATACGGTTACCAGAATTTGAATACCAAATGGAAAGAGAAGTAGAAAAATTAGAAGGATCTTCTTTCCAGAAACTGGGTTGGGTCAGTGACAGGGGGCCAGTTTCTAGACTGTGATCTGAGCCTCTGTGGGCCTGTGAAGGGCTCCCCGAAGGGAAAGGAAGGCCACAGAGCAGAGAGAGCACCCTAACGTCATTTCCAGCCAGTGGATTTTGAGGTGGTGCTGGGTGGAAGGACAAGAAGTCAGAGGCAAAAGATCTAGAAAGAGACATACTAATGTGAGTGGTTTGTGATTGGAGGTGATTTTTCTCATAAAATCTGGTGTAGATGTGTATGTTTGCCTGCTGGTCTTATTTTACCAAATTTTCTGCAGGCGAAGCAATGTCCTTTTGAAAGTCCAGAGGGAGACTATTTTAGTTTTCCAAGGCTGCTGTAACAAAGTATCACAAAGGGGATGACTTAAAACAGAAACTTACTGTCTAATAGTTCTGGAGGGTGGAAGTCAAAAATTACCTTTCAGGGCCATGCTGTTTCTGAAACCTGTAGGGCAGTCCTTCCTTGCCTCTTCCTAGCTTGTGGTATGGGAGCAATTGCCAAGTGTTCCTTGGCATATAAGCCGCATCATTTCAATCTCTGTCTTAGTCATCACGTGATGTTCTTGAGTGCATCTGTCTGCACAAGGCTGCCTTTTTAGAAGGACACCACTCTTACTAGATTAGGAGCCCATCCTACTCGAATATGGCATCATCTTAACTTGTCACATCTGCAACAACCTTGCTTCCAAATAAGGTCACATTCGTTGGTACCAGGGGTTAGGACTTCAACATATCTTTTTCCGGGAGTTGGGAGGGGAGGATGAGGGACACAATTCAACCTATAATAAGTGCTAGATTTTATTTTAAAGACTTAAAAAAATTTGGTATTTACTACATAATACCATTCATTGAGAAGGGGT